TTAAAACCAAGAGGATAACCTCTAGTAGCCTTGCAAAACCCCCCCCCCCCCATCTCAACAGTAGGCAATGGTGAAACCAAAATGGATTGGTTGAACACTTTCCGTTACCCCTGGCCCAATACAGATCTTGGGAAATATGTACACCCTGGGAGGCAACTGGACTTATAAAAGGGAAGGATGCTCAAAACAAAATATGCTTCCCCTTAAAAACAATTGTATGTACCTTTATTGAAGAATAGCAACTGGAGGAAGTGAAAATCTCGCAGAAGATGAAACAGACAGGTGATGAAGAAAATGTGAGATGAACATGTGCAGATTCATCCACATGCCAGTTTGAAGAATCTCATCATAGGGTTGGTGAAAATTAGATGCAAGAGAGTGAGACAGTTGACTGATTTGATGACATTTAATGATTTTAACAACATATAAAATAACTAATCAAAACTTTTGTGAGTATTTACTGGGTTTCTGTCAAAATAGTGCAAATTTCATATCGAACTCCACACATGAAATAAATTACATATACAATTATCAACCTGTAACAAAGCTATCAAACTCATATCATACTCTTAAATTATTGGATACTTTTTATCACAATTTTCTAAGTGCAAACTTACCTATGCCAAAGAGATATCTTATGGCAAGATATAATTTCTATTTTCTGTTTTGGTGCACTCGCATACAACTACTAAACTGAAAGCTGAATTTAACAGGGGCCTGTTTATATTTTCCTTACTGCCTGCTTCTTACATCATCCGACTGTTATAACAGCGCAGCCGTATCGCATATGATGGCTGTCGTTAAGGTAACTGTTAGGAACTGTTTTTAAGGGTGAGCATCATTACGTTCAGTCAGCACTAGAAGTTAAAAGTTGTTTAATGCCTGTACACTATCGGCTTTATTGTCTAAATACATATATATATAGGGAGCTGGTTTCCCGAAATTATAACCATTCAGCTAACACTTACTCAATCTAAACGTATGCACAATAATTGTTTCTACTGTGTCATGTGCATGTGTATATTAAGTGGAATATTTCTTTTAAATTCAATACTGCCTTGTAATGATACTGATATATTGCTACTAAAAAGAAAAAAACGCTAAGTCATAGACGTGAATGGACTTGGAACCGCACGTGCATAACAATCTACAGTCATGAACGTTGGCTACACGTACACAGAAAGAAAACTGGCGAAATCTATTTCTTTGAGTCAAGAACCAGATATAAACATCACGATCTTTACCACTTGTCACTTTTAACTGGTTTCAATGCTGTATGTACATCCATACCAAGCTTTCAAGAAATGTCATGCCACAGGTGGGAAACACATAAGCTGTGTGAGTATGGG